AAGCAATGTTTACAAGCACACAAGTTCCGTGACCCCACCGACGCCGGCCGCGGTTCCGGCGCGGTGCTTCCAAGACGCCCGGCCTTCCTGTGACCCACTACGGATAATGAGGTCATTATCCTGTGTCGTTGTAGGGGGAGTATAACGGAATATCGAAGCGCCGCGTCTTGAAAGCATTGGGCTGGCATCGCTCCCGGAAAATCAGTCGAACCACGAGGTTTTTCATGATGCAGCTGAGAGATTTCCGGCAGACACTCGCGTGGTGACATCGCCAGACACGGCTGTTGTCAGATAGCCCGAGGAATCTCTCTATTTCGCACATCTCTCCCTCGGGCGTCGGGCTCCGAAATCCACGGAACGGCGACAGCCAGTCCTAGTCTTTCCTAGATTTCGGAGCCTACGACGGATGTTACATGCAAAGTCAGGAGGTTTTTGGCGAGCGAACCGTGGGAAATGACGCTAAGTTCGCAAGCCTGGGGACCCACGAGGACCTCGCTGAAGCCTCCTGAAGTCAGTCGCGTTTGCCTCCTTGCCCGTGTGCTCCACCCGGAAACCTCGGCCTTGTCGTATCCTGCGCCCTTTCCGTGGTGCCTTCCCTGTTGAGTAGCCCGAATGCGGTACGTCCCCCGGTCCCTACCGGCAGCGAACTGACCCCTAGTTGTTAAGAGTTGTTCTGTGTGAGATTGTTTTCTGTGCGTACCTGTGTGGCGCTTATTATTATATCGTTGTATATTACACCCCAATACAAGAGTGGCCACCCCCTAGTTCATGTGTTCCTCCTTTCCCTAGGATACTAGGATACATTCTCGAGGTAGGTGACTATTTATTTAGAGTGACAGGGCTCTTACATCCCCCTAGATCTACCCCCCTTTTCTAGGTCTCTCTGTCTGGTGGACGCCCCCATCTGCGATCCACTTCGTGTTCAGCTGCTTGGCTCGAGAGCTGAGCGCGTTATACAGTGGTGCCAAAGAAAAGTGCAATGTTTATTTTTTACCAGGCGGCGTGCCATCTGCGCGCCCGTTTATGAAAACGGTGGGATGGTAAGGACCTGCGGTTGTTGTTTTGAAACTTTTGAAATTTAGCACCAAAAGCGGGTCCAATCGAGACAAAAACCGATGTAGGCTTTGGGTAGAATAAAATCAACAGTTTTAATTTGCCTAAAAGATTTATGTACATCCAATAAAGCGATGTGCCGGTAAAACTTTAAAAGAGCTACGACTCGCATCTTCACAAAATTAAACCTGTCACATTATAAATCAAAATTAAGAACGCAGACTCATACGTGAAAATACGTAGGGTAGGTGGGGGTAAGAGTACGCACCGCACTTTTTTCGCGCGCTTTGTTTGAATGTATAATGCTACCGGGTGTTGGTTGTTGGCAACATTGAGTTTCACCTGTTGACAAAGTTTTATTCGAAGCGGATGTGTTTTGACGGAATTATGAGGCAAATTCACTTTTCATGCGAAAAAGATCGATTCTTTTAGTATTTGTATTGTTTGTTGTGAGTAGAATAGTTGATGGAAAAATCGGACAGGCACCATATCAAAGTGTTATAGTGTTGGCTTTAATAAGCCGTAGTTGTTTTCACACCTTGGGCCTTGGGCCCAAAGTTTTAGTTTATATTGTCCAATATTTACAAATAGGGCAAGAGTACGCAGCCAAAAATGGGGCAAAAGTACGCGCCAAAAAGTGGGGGGAGGGAGATGTATAGGAATTTCAACATAGAAGATGTAGGCAACTCAGTATCTTAAAACATTTTTAAGTTCCTTCGTTCAATTTGGGCAATTTAACTTAGTTCTTTTCCTGTTTAAAAAAAATTGACTTCGAAAATTATTTGGGAGCTTGTGGAGACTGAATTATTACTTTTTTTTTTCGAAGTAAAAGTGGTTAGGCACTACTGGAACCCTTTGAGACCAGCTTCAGTCGTTTTCCGGGATACAACAGCAATTTGGAGCCCAGGTGATGTTTTTAAAAACAAAATTTCACCTGCGTACTTTTGCCCCATTAAATGGGGCAATAGTACGAATTTTCACATTTTTCTAAAAACTTCGTCACGGCCATGGATTTGATTTCTAACTTCGGACAACGCAGGGCACTTGTGCGTGAGGGCTTGCAGTAGGTACCTGACCCCTTTTCCCGCCTTAAAAGTCGATTCGGTCACGGAAATACAGGAAAAACCAAAAAATGCATACTCTTGCATACTCTGTACCCCCACCTACCCTATGCACTGCTACCATTGCGGCCGCGGCCATTTTAAAATGGCCGCGGCCATTTCATATGGGAATTAATTAATTCCCATATGAAACAAGACCCACCAGCTCCAGCTCGAGGTCCTTGTTCCTCTTCTTCTTCACGAATTCTGAATCAGTGTCCTTTCTATAGACGTGGTAGTCCAGGCAAATAAGGAAAAGAGCCTGCAAAAATCCTGGGTGGCAATGGTTACATTGATTCCTTGGTAATTTAATAGAAATAGACGCAAGTCTCCTTTTTCGCCCATCTGACAAGTAATTTCTGGACAAATTAAGTAAAGATGATACAATTTACACTAAGTTCCATACCTTAATGTAAAAAATAGGGAACTCAACACATTGCAGTGTTGCCACATACTTAAGATTTAAGCGCAATCTGCAGGAGTGATGACCAGAGATGGAAAATGAAATTTCATAAGTCTCAAATAAATTTCACAAAAGTTGAAATTTATTAGTTTTTTTTTAGAATTATTGATTGAACCTTTGGAGGTCTGAAAGCGTTTCAGATCGTCTTTCTGTTGATGCTGCGGTATTATGCTACTTTACTGAAGGTGCCAGACACAAAGAGGGGGCAAAAAGGGGAGTTTAGAGAGAAAAACCCCAACTAACCTCTAAACTCAACGAAAACATTTGCAACGCGCGGATGTTTTAGGCTTAGGGTGAAAAATTTCAAAATTTAGAATTACTCTTTCTAGGCGTTTCTTAGCATCCTGAATGTATCCCCAAAAGTTTCAATAAATTTCATGAAATTTTATGAAATTTCACGCGCGAAATTTCACTCGAATAAATTTCATGAAATTTTCCATCTCTGGTGATAACACAACAGACGGCTGAAATGCGCCGAGCCAGGCACATAGATAAAAGATGCAAACAAGCAGCATTAACAGTATCGGTGCATGCATGACCGCTAAACCTGACTTTCCAAAGAGCTTATGCCATATTCTAACAAGGCAATAATGGTCCAAAACCTCAGTGTAAATTTTATCATCTTCATTTAGTTCGTCCAGAAATTACTCGTCAGACGGGTATAACAGGAGACATAGGGTAAAAACCGCAAAAAAACGAAATTTTCGGTCATTTTTCAAAGTTCGGCGCCTGCCATCATATATCGCGCTTCCTTTTGCCTTTAACAAAAAAGTGTTCTGAAACGATTTTCTAGGAAATTTAACGAGCTGTATTTTTGAAAATAATTACTTTTGTCTTCAGATCAACTTTTGGCGAGTTGCAGACCACAATCCGCATAAAAACGCATTTATCGCTCATTTTTTAAAGTTCGGGGCCTGCCAGCGCGCTTGATTTTGCCTGGAGCAAAAATGAGTAAAGGAACGATTTTTTAACGCTGTATTTTTGAAAATAACTAATTTTGTCGTCAGATTAATTTTTGGCGATTTACAGGCCATAATCCAAAAAAAGGCTAATTTTAGGCCATTTTTGCCAAATTGCAACTTTCCGGTCCGATGGTCCGCATGGTCACCAACTGGTGTTCTCTCTCAAAGAAATTTGCCAGTCATAATTTCGCCGAAACATTTCAATCCTCGATTTCAAAAAGCTAGCAGACAACATCTCCTCTTCCATCGATGGGGCAGCCATTAATGCATCTTTGGTTGCTAGTGTCTTGGTACAATTCAAATTTTCTAATTCAAGAGAACTGTCTCCCTCAAGAAGAAGCTAGCGGCCAAGCTTTTTTGGAACAGCTCACTCGAGGCGTTTGAGAATAATCTGGCAGCTAACTTCCATTTTGAGGAGAACGGTTCTCCCAAAATTTTGGTGAGAAAAATGACTAACTTTTCTATGACTTGGATTTTTAACTTCCAAACATCTAGAATTTTGGATTGATCAACAAAATTTTGACCAGCAAAGAGTTGTTGTAAAATTTTCCCCTCCCTCTTTGGATGATGATCCAATAATCTTTCAATTAGGAAACCAAGGATATCCTCGGGCTCAGTTCTCTCAGGGGATTCCCCTTTGACATGAAATTCATCGAATTTTACACATGCGTAAAGCATCCATTAAACAGGAGAGAGCCAAGTTTTCTGTGCAGCAAGGTGTCCACTCATGGGCTTTACCCATGAGCAGAATTTCACACTGATTTTTTCTGAGTTCTCTTCTCAGTGTTGATTGTAGCAGACCCCATGTCTCTTCAGCAGGTTGGTCCTTTCCTCCTAAACTAGATCCATTTGGTCATACGTCCTTATTGAGTTTGTGGCACAAAAAAAATGATTCCTGAAATCGACAGGACTAGGGCTTCTGATGTTTCAGGTATATTCCTGGATTTACATAAGCGAGAGAAATGCCCGAGAATCACTTTTGATACGCCCATAAATTTAAAAATTAGGCATGGACAGAGGAGCAACTTTAACTTTAATTAGACCCAGAAATTATTCGGAGCACCCAAATTAAAGGCATATCCCTTAGGATGTCATCTCGGGAGCAATGATGTCAAAATGTTCAAACCCTTCAGTGGGTTACACATTTGTTGTTCAATTTACTTTTGTTTTTAATTTTATTCTAAGTTGCACACATTTGTTGTTCAATTTACTTTTGTTTTTAATTTTATTTTAAGTTGCACACATTTGTTGTTCAATTTACTTTTGTTTTTAATTTTATTCTAAGTTGCCCCAACGCCCTATTTTGCCGCCAAACTGCTGCTAGACCTAATATATTTTATTTCCATTTGGGTAAATCACATTTATTTTCTGTCTCCTTAACCTTCCATCCAGGAAATTGTCGATAAAATAAAAATTTAAAAATTGGAAAAACAAAATAACTGAATATATTTAAACGATTACAAAGATAAAAGTAAACATAGACCACTACCTATTACCTACAGCAGAATCAAATAAAATTATATAAAACAAATTAAAATGAAATAAAATAAACAAACAAACAAACCAAATTAAAAACATGAATAGGTAAAGAAATATTCGATACAGATCAATGATTTCTTTTAAAAACAAACATGAAGAGGTAAATAGAAAAACTCACCATACATCAATTTAATCTCACTATTGGCAAGGGAAGAAATGTATTAACAATAAAGTATGTACAACTTTGTATTTCCAATTCTTATCACAACAGGACCTTTAGAAAGAGCGATTTTTTTATCCTCCTTTTCACTTCCTATCAAAGCAGGATGAAAATCGAACAATAACTAATAAATAAAAAAGACATAGAGAGTACTTTTGAGAGAATTTTACGTTTGATGCCTTTACTAAACTTGATAACGGTGCAAATAAAAATTTTCATCATATTTTTCTTTACTTTTTTTTAAAATCAAATATATTTTTTCTCAGTTTGAATGTGATTTTACTTAATGTCCTGTATTTATTCGGGTGAAATGTGCACTTCTTTGTCACTTCTGATTGGTCATAAAGTCTGCAACACAATATATGCAAAAGTTAAGGATTTGACTTTTTTCCGTCAGTCAAAGTGCCCAATCACCACCCTCATGTGATGCCATGCTTCTGCAATGTTGGACACACTGCAGTGCAGATACAGGATAACAAGCGTCAGGCTTAACTTATCCCTCCAATTTTCTCCTAGCATAGTTAGATAGCTTCATTTATTTCATGCTCAGTCTTTCCCTGACTTATGTTTTGATTGAGGATTAGGGACAGGGCTGATTTTTTGAGGAAAAGGTATTAATCCGCAATTCAGTTTTGTCACTGTAAATATATTGTATGCTTAAACGGCTCTCGGTAGTACAGTTTTAGACTCAGTGGCTTTAAAGATTTACAGTTTATAAATAATACGAATTTTACATAATGGCACCTCAAAAAAAAACGCAATATCCTGGAAAGGAAAAATTATCAGTTATTTAAGAAAGTGAAAAAGTCTGTGACAGGAAAATAAGTGGTGATGTTGGCGAAATAAATTCAATTTTTACATGTACGGTTTACAAGTATGCGTGTAGTAGAGACAGGAGAAATTTCAGTGGGACAAAATCAAGGCAGAGGAGTGTTTTTAAATATTAGTAGACAAAGATGCGATGGGCAAAGATTACGACGAGGTTGATTCAAACTATGCTGATTCAGACAGCAATGATTGAGGTAAAACAATTATTCTTCTCTTTTTTTCGTTTCGTCCAATGTTTTTGGTATTTATCATACTTTTTACCAGTACATAAGCGTAGGACACTTCCTTCTCAATTTCACAGGTGCTCATTATGTACACGTGAAATCAGCCTCCAAATTATACATGAGGGGGGAGGACACACTCAGCAAGAGAAAATAGGTATATTTAATTTATTTATTTTTTTACAATCTCTGGCTTTAAAAAGCATTTACTTTTATATTTTTAAGTTGTTTCATTAAATATGAGTATTTTATTTTTGTTTTGAAATTGAAAATGCTATTTTTTATAAACAAAGGAGAAAAAAAAGATTATGACAAGGCAAGATTTAAATAAAATATTCACAGAGTCATCTTCGCTCTAGATCTTACAGTAAAATCCTGATACAAAAAAAAAAAAAAAAAAAAAAAAAAAAAAAAAAAAAAAAAAAAACTAAACAATATATGGTTTTAAATCTCTAATGAAGCAGTTACACAATGCACCACATGAAGATGTTTCATATAATCAATAAGACAATTTCAACCATTTATTTACGAAAGGATCCCGAGCGCTACGAGATTGAGCATTAAGGTTGTGACAGATTATTATTGCCTGGGTATAGAGGCATTAGCAACAGACAAAGCAACATACACAAAAACCATGTTTTAAGACAGTAAATGACCATTTGAAGTCTTTATTTTTTTACACACGGGCCCAAGCCACAAAGTTGTCCTTTGTTGGGCTTTGAGTGGGAAGATAGGATACAAGTATCAAGAAATGTCAGTGGCAACTCAAATATAGACGAGTGGGGGCATCCTGCATTTCGCATCCGTCAATTACAAGACCAACTTCAACATTTGAATAAATCAGAGTTGCCACCAAATTAAGATAATGAAATGAGTCAGTTCAGCTCGGAAGGGATTTGCCTGCAAATAGTCGAATCTTTCAGTTTTCAGTGCGAGAAGATCGATGCACACGTTGAAATTTCACGAAAAATTGTCTCCGCGGAGATATAGCGCTCCCTTTTTAGGGGTCCTCGGAAACATGTTTGAATCGACCGCCGTGAATCTTCGAATCTACGCGTCATAGACGGGGAGGTGGCGGCGACGAAGCCAACCTCCTTACTACCGCCACGCGGTATATATCTGGAATGCTTAGAAACAACCGCGAGCTTTGAAAGTTTAATAATAAAAGCTATAACTTGATCCCAGTTTCTCTTATGGGATATCTGTAAGTGCGGAGGAGATAGCTATCGCTGGGAGAGAGATATCTGCAACTGCTGAGAGCGATCACTCGCGATTGGTTGCATCATGGTCATCGAATTTAACCCTACTTTTTTCTGGGATCAAGTTTCAGAAATTACTTTTCACGTATTTTTCAGAGTCAATAGAAAGAAGAATGTTATAGCTAGAACTTATGACTCTTCGATTTTAACAGAAATTCCTTTCTTTCATAAAAGCTCAAGGACTCATGTGGGGCTGTACGGACTCTAATAGCGTGGACCAAAAAATCAAAACACAACGGTGGCGCTCCCTGCGTGGAAAAATGTCTTACTACGCACCGCTGTAGATTCATCTTGAGGACAATGGGTATAAATCTCAAACAAAGTAACCTACATAACCTCCAATCGACCAACAAAAACACACCGCCGACGCGACGCCGCCGTGTATTCGTCCACTACGCATTCCGCCGCCATATTGATCGTGACGTGTATAATCGAAACCTACGAGCCGTTCAAACGCCGTTTTAGGCCACTCTAATTTTTGGCATTTTCAAATAAATTTTTCTCCAGTTTGCAGTCATCAAAAAAATTAGGAAAAAAACTGTAAGCTTCGGTTACTTACTACTTTCGTATGACATAATAAAAAAAAATGACTTGACTGACTCATTTTCCCTGACATTTCCCTGATTTTCCTGACACATTTGCGTGAAATTCCCAAAAAATTGAGGATATGTAAGATGGTTAAAAAGACATAATTCGAAATAGTATTCACACAAAATTTGCTGTTCCAAATGTCAAATCCATTCTAGAAAGAAAATAAAGGTGCATTGAAATTTTTCCCTGACACTTTCATCATTTTCCCTATATTTTCCAGGTTTTTTCTGACTTTTTGAAATTCCCTGACATTCCCTGCTTTTCCCTGACTGTGGCAACCCTGATAAATGTGTCAGAAATTCTTCTTTTTACACCCTCTTTCTTGAAACACAAGCTAAATAAGTTTGATTAGCAGATACGTGAGGAATTAAAATTTATCATTGTATCCTCTTCATATTTATGCATAAGGTAAAAAGGCGTAAAGATAACATCCAAGGCAACCAGAGATTCTCTTAATCAAGTAAAATTATTTTTAATTGTCGATTAATCTTGAAGGCTTTTAGTGACGGACAGTGTAAAATTAGCAGTTCATACGCTATGGCTGAATATTTCCTATTTTGATTTGAAAAGATAAAAAAACTGACTTAGACAGCAGTAAAAATAAAAAATTGCTTGCTATGTTCAGAGATGGTCCGTGCATCTAATCGTATTCTCTTGTTTGATCCTTGAAACTGCAAATATACATTAAAAAAATGAAATCAAACCTAATTTGTTCTTTCTTATGGACATTAATTTTGATGAACTTGAAAATTTACAACATTTCAAAAGAAACACTCTTCATTATTATTTTTGAATTCTTAATAATGCGTTTTTGCCCATTCGTTAATAAATAGTTTATTTATGACCTATCCCATAATCAATAAAATATTCATCATCCCTCACCGAAATAAAAATTATCAATAACTGCTAAGTCAAAAAAACCTTTTGAGGTCCCTAAATTCTTTTAATATAGTGCAGGGTCAAGATTTCCTCTTTGATCTAAATTCAATACCCAATCATTTGCATTATCGCAAGGATCAAAATTTTAACGCCAAGTATGAAATCTGTTTAATTGGGTCCTCAAAGTTTTGAAACTTCTTAATCCTCGTGTAATTTTTTGAGGAATATTGCTGATCATTATAATTGCATTCAGGGCAAAGAGTCCTTAAAGGGTCAGAAAAAAGAGTATCAAGAGAAGAGCACTGAGCAGGGTCTAAAACTCCAAGGATACCATCTTTTGGAAATGATAAAAAAAAAAGCAGCAGAGACTTTGCAGCATCAAATTCAAACTACTTCCATTGGAGCAGTTGGCCTTCATAAAGTAATGTAGTAACGCTAATAAAATCCCTTTTTTATGAAAGGAATTGATGCCTTGTTTGAGTTTTTACAAAAAACAAAAAAAATAGTATTGATATGAAAATTAATATGTTCACTAAAAAAATGTTTTTCGAAATAGTTCCTGCCAGGCCAGAAAAGCACGGAAAAACAGCGGAATTGGAACACTTCAAAAAAAGGTTTCTACCCATTATCGTAACGATCGCGCTTCCTAACGATATGTGCATGACTACTTCTTTACAATTATTTGGATTGCATTTTGCAATAAGGAACCACTATCACTGGCTCTTCCATAAAAGCACCTTTCTGCATAGGGAATTCAATGGCTCATACGCTGTTTCTAAAATGAGCTAGAAATAGTGGTTCCTCATTGCAAAATGTAGTCTATTTCTTCAAGAACCTGTTGACAGTGCTTTAATTGCACAGCGACATGCTGTTCAAAATGCCGGTCACTGTGACAGTTTTGGTAGTGAACATGTTGACAGGGGCAAAAACTAAATTCCAAAGGTCATTATTGAATTTTCCTAACCTGAGAACTGATTAAATACATTATGATGCTCAGAATATTCATTAAAATGATATTATGAAATCAGAATCAATTAATTAAAAGGAAAGTGGAAAGATTTAGAATTGCATGCAATTTAACAGTAAGAGTTTTTTGAAAATTTCTTAAGCTGGACACTAGATAGAAGCACTTAAAATAGATGATGTTTCGAAACAGCATTAGTGACTTTGAGATTAACCACCGCTTGTCTTTGGTCTAAGTTTGAAACCTGCAATGCTAAAAAAATGGCAAGACTCTCATTTAAAGTTAAAATAAAATCATAAAGATAAAATCAATAAGTTTCGACTTTATATAAGAGAGATTCACCCATCAATTTTTATTGATGAATTTTCGTGAGATTTTCTTGGAAGCTTGAAAGAGTTTGGCAAGATTAAAAAAGAACATGCCTGAAGCTACGAATAATCATACACACAGCCAAAATGTTTTCTACAGTCGATTTAGAATTCAATTCAGCATTTAAAGGGGTGAATACATTTATTTATTATAAACTAATTTTTAGGTTTAAGGTGAATAGAAAAAAAAAAAAAAAATTTAGTCGGAAAATGCTGAAAATAAAGACTCCTAGGAGAGTAAAAAAGTTATGATTCAATCACTGGGAGAAGAGCTAAACGAAGGAAACAGTAGCAAAGGCACTCAAATACTAATAAGTTATACATAAACAGAGGAATATTAGAGTGGGCACATGGTAAGACCTCTGCCAGATCTACAAGGTGTCTGTGAAGTCCCCTCCCCCTCTTCTAACTATAAACCTAGTTGAGCTAAAGGTTTGAAACGTGGGGGATGTTACTAGGTCGAAGGGAGCTACTTTTTGGCCCCCCAAAAGAGGCTGTCCCATTTTCCATAGGAAATGGCCGCAAGAGATTTTCCATCCATACTTTCAGGAATCATAACGGATCATTGGAGAGGCCTAAATCCGGTGTACTTTTCCGTCTAGCCCTCCAAGGGGGGAGGGGGGAGGGGGTCAAAGGTCAAACGCACAGACCGCCATAACTTTTGAACGAAGCAACGGATCAACTTGATCTTGGGCTCAAATAAAAGCTCTTGACAAGACCTGTACATTAAAGTCTGTTATTGGTAATTTTTAAATGTGAAAAAAATCATTGTTTGATTTTTTATTTTGGGTTTTTCTGTAAATGGGAACGCATGAATCCTTACAAAAATCAATTTAAATGAAAGCCCTTGCTTCAAGCTTTAAAATGAGCTATCGTTGAACCTGGGGAAATGAATGGTTCAAAAGTTATGACCGTTCAAAGTTGGCGCGGCGCGCTATTTTCGAAGCGCGCGGAGTGTATACTCGCGTGCCACCCCTCCCTACCTTTTCCCCTGGTGCCCACTTCAGCTGACAACGGATACAGAAAAGTCCAAAGCTTCTTCCACCTAGAGAGAGACCAATCATTGGTGCAAAATTACTTTCATTTCTAACGAAAATGGGAAATAAAAATAAATTAAATGCTAATAAACGACAAGAAGCTGGCATACATTATTTTTCCGCCCCCCCCCCCCGCACGATTTCATATTTAAAAGCCAAATCAAGCCTCTTTTACTGCAAAATACACTCAAAAGCTGTCGATAATATTCGTAGGCTCTAGTACGCAACTAGCCGGCCAGCACTTGAAACTCGCATTTACTACTGAATATTTATCCCTCACCTCTCTCCGATCAAGCCAAATCAAGCCTCTTATCATCGCGGTATCTGATTATTCCCGTGCAGGTAAGTCTTGATGAGAGGGGAATAGGTTAGAGAGAGGTAAGGGATAAATATTCAGTAGTAAATGCGAGTTTCAAGTGCTAGCCGGCTAGTTGCGTACTAGAGCCTACAAATATTATCGACAGCTTTTGAGTGTATTTTGCAGTAAAAGAGGCTTGATTTGGCTTTTAAATATGAAATCATGCGGAGGGGGGGGGCGGAAAAATAATGTAGGCCAGCGTCTTGTCGTTTATTAGCATTTAATTTATTTTTATTTCCCATTTTCGTTAGAAATTAAAGTAATTTTGCACCAATGATTGGTCATTCTTTAGGTGGAAGAAGCTTTGGACCTTTCTGTATCCGTTATCAGCTGAAATGGGCACCTGGGGAAAAGGTAGGGAGGGATGGCACGCGAGTATACACTCCGCGCGCTTCGAAAATAGCGCGCCAACTGTGAACGGTCATAATTTTTAAACCATTCATTTCCCCAGGTTCAACGATAGCTCATTTTAAAGCTTGAAGCAAGGGCTTTCATTTAAATTGATTTTTGTAAGGATTCATGCGTTCCCATTTACAGAAAAACCCAAAATAAAAAATCAAACAATGATTTTTTTCACATTTAAAAATTACCAAAAACAGACTTTAAAGTCTGTTTTTGTCCATTAATTAATGTACAGGTCTTGTCAAGAGCTTTTATTTGAGCCCAAGATCAAGTTGATCCGTTGCTTCGTTCAAAAGTTATGGCGGTCTGTGCGTTTGACCTTTGACCCCCTCCCCCTTCCCCCCTTGGAGGGCTAGACGGAAAAGTACACCGGATTTAGGCCTCTCCAATGATCCGTTATGATTCCTGAAAGTATGGATGGAAAATCTCTTGCGGCCATTTCCTATGGAAAATGGGACAGCCTCTTTAACAGACCCCAACTTTTTTTCCAAATCGGCCACCTTTGGGATATCTCGTTCGAAAGAGCACAAAAAAAAAAAAATATTCGCGCAAACCCGAAGTCGTCATCTTAAAACAAGATGGCGGCCGCTTTAAAGTTCGAAACAGCCGAAATTGGCAACTCGGTTTTTTGCCGGATAGATTTGCCTGAAACTTGGTATCTGTAGGTATTTTGACACGAGAAAAACTAATTTGACATTAGATTAGTGAGAAAAATCCGAATTTTTTAAAAGGGTCGAAAACTGGCAGCTTCGGTTTTTTGCGGATGGATTTGTCTGAAACATAGTATCTGATGGAATTCTGGCTTGAAAAGAAGAATCTGTCGTTTGATTCGGATGAAAACCGAGGTCGTCAATTTTCGGCCATTTTAAAATTTACCTGGTCGCCATTTAGACAAATTCGGGTTTTCTTCACGAATCTAATGTCAAATTCGTTGTCAAATCTCGTGTCGAAATACCTCCAGACTCCTTATATCAGGCAAATATATCGGAAAAATATTGAGATGCCAATTTCGGCTATTTCGAACTTAAACCAGCCGCAATTTGGAAACTTTTTAGGATGATAACTTTTGGTTTGCGCAAAAAATTTCTTTTTATAAGTTCTTTCGAACGAGATATCATGGAGGGGTCTTCTTTTGATTTGAAAAGAAAGTTTGGGTCCGTTCCCCCCCTCCCAGAAGTATCCTCTAAAATTTTACAGGAAGGGGGGCCAAAGGATGCTCCCTTTGACCTAGGAATATCCCCCAAGTTTCAAACCCTTAGCACAATTAGGTAAAAAGTTACAGCAGGATGAACAGTGTTCGTTGACCACCCTGTGGGTTATGGTGGAAACCAGGATTCTAAGAAATGTAAAGGGAACCTATTTCCAAAGCAGACAAGGGTAACGAACTAAACGTCTAAAATGGCCGCCAGATAGGGAACCTGCGTAACGCGCATGGGCCAATTTTTAAAGGCTGGAGGAAGGGAGCGCAAGTATACCTTACCTCAATCTTAATTTCCACCGCGTCTTGCCCATAAAAATTACAAGTGAAAATTTCCACCTTTGTAAATTTTAATTGAAGTGCCTTCAAAGTTCCTATTATTTGAGAAGACGAGAGGACCTTGTAAGAAGCGATCATGATGCCTTCTTTTCATTGCTATCACTTTATTCATCAATATTTAGCAAAATTTGGGCAGAGTTTAACATGGGTTTAGATGGCAGCTTGCAGTGTGAGCCCAAGTGCACCTAAGCGAAATCAATTTCAAAGTGTTACGCAGTGTTTGCACTAGTCAGCCATTCTGGACGTTTAGTTCGTTGGACAAGGGTTCCTTAAAGTGATTAATACAACAGATCTTACAGTTAACATATTGCTCATTAAAAGAGGAAAGACCTTTGTGTGCATTGATGGTCTTTGGTAGGCGAAGTCTTGCCCTCCAGACTGCTTTCCTGCTCGTAACAAACCCACAGGAGATCATGTTTGTCATAAATGGCAACTGCAGTAGCCTTCTTGCACCAAGATCTCTGGAATAATTTATTTTCAAAAATTCGGATTCTGCTTTCGAACAGACATGATTTTCGATCCTTAGAATGACATGTTCAGAATTTATAACTTTTTTCATGCAAGGACCACCATTCTCACCCCGAACATGGATGGAAGGGGGGGGGGTGTTAAATGCATTAGATGTTGAAATTTAAGATGACCATCATAAATTTTCTTTTCCTTAACTTCAAAACGAAGAGATTAAAGCAGATCCAATTCACATTTCTTTACATTTGTTGCCAAACTAATTTGGAAATTTTTTTAGAAGATTCAAAATTCCTCTAAAGCTGAGAATATTTTGTTGAGTACAACCAAATTCTTTAGATCTTGATACTTTAAAAAGAAAAAATTCTCCTAGGAGAAGATGATAGAGACAGGGAGTAAGACTATGGGAGGATAGGAAACTGTGGTGGCTAGGTGAAAGCGACTTGTATGTATGTATACATGGAAACAAAAATAGCTCCATTGATTTAGGTTCAAAATGGCTATAGAAAGATATGTTGTGAACCTACAGTCAGGTTTATTTCAAACTTGGTGGGCGGGTTTATATGAAGTGCTAAACATGAGCTGGACACTATTTTCAAAAAATATCAGATCCTTTTCAGGATGGCAACCTTCAAATGGCGGAAAACTAGTACTTTCTTGGGAACAGTCACGATTACGGTTAATTTTAATTATAATATTATTGAGTATTTCAATATCAATAAATATTATACAATATTATAATTATAGTAATACATGAAATACCTGATAAGTCCCAAAAGTACTGCACACTTCCTTTTCGTGAGAAAACAGTTAAAGCTATCGACATGCGAATTAGACAGGGCTCTAAATTGAATCCTTAGCTTGAAAACAAGACCAATTGCAGGTCTCTAACTTAAAAATTGCTTAAGTTATATCACTTCAAAGTTGACGTGTAAAAATTGGCCCTGGCGTTTTTCCGACCCCTTTTTTTAATAAAAAAGTAGACGAGAGAAGCTACAAGAGTAGAAAGGCCATTTATTGAAAAAAGTAAACAATAAAACTTACTGAACTTTGGAAATTTAATTCTCTTCGTCTGATAAGTCAACAACTGACCTTTTCAAAGTATTTGCCTTCATTTTTGACGCAAAGTTCCAGTTGTTCTCTCCACTTGACAAGAAATGTTCTCTCAAATTCTTGTTGAGGGATGGATTTAAGGAAAGTCTAAACAACAGACTGAATTTTTTCAATTGAGTTAAATCTTCTGCCTCTTAAATTTTTCTTAAGTTCTGGAAACAGCCGAAAATCGCCCAGAGCCAGGTCTTGGTTGCGCGCAGGGTGTGGGAGGCACACAATACTCTTTTGCTCCATGAATTCTTGCGTAAACTTCGCCATGTGCAATCGCACATTATCCTGATGCAGAAGTCAGGTTTTGCAAATTTCCGGACGCTTCTCTATGATGTGTCACTGGAGTTGCTGCAAGAGTATATGAGGACATATATGTAACAATGGCGGTCGCTGACATCCGCCATTTTTAGGGCAAACGCTTTTTTCGAAATCTAGAGCCTCCAAGAATGCCTGTGCAAAGTTTCAGACTTCCAGCACAATTTTTCGGCGAGATATGGACTGAAAAACATGTTATTTGTAAAAACAGCGGATGTGAGAATCCACTGTTTTCTCCGGCCGGCGCGGCAGGACACCGTGAAGATTCGAACCCACTTGCGATAACTGCCCGCCCACCGGCCATGGGCTGTAGCTGACACCCTAATTATACGTATCGGGACCGTCTCACCAGACTTGTTGAATTTTTAACTAATTTTAGAATTTTTCCTTGTTTTTGTTGTAAAAGTTACAAACGGTTTAGTTTCTTGTTCAATTTTGTTAAATGACTCAGCATTGACTAACTTTTGGTTCATTTCAATCGTTTCACCAGCCTTACCCTTCCTGAAAACTTTGCTTCATGCATAAAAAAGTGTTTGCGGATGTCACATTTTTTTCAAATCACTGTTACTCCTTCAATTTTTCACTTACATACATTGTAAAACGTGTGGTTTTAACCGGAAGAGTTGCTCTTCATGAAAATCTTTATAAGAATCCTCTCGGTTTTACGGGCGGAAAAGTTCAAAGCTTCAAAAACTTCAAACGCGATTTTCTCACAATGTGAAAACTCGACATCCGCTATTGTTACAGATAAGTCCTCATATAGTAATGTTTATCCGGAAAGAGTTTGATCTTTTGCGTTCCGCGCTTTAAGATTTTTTATTAAGAAAAGCTGCTAGAACGCTACAGCCAATTTTTACACATCAACTTTGAAGTAATATAACTTTGGCAATTTTTAAGTTAGAGACCTGTTCTTGTTTTCAAGCTAAGGATTCAATTTAGAGCCTTGTCTAAACCGCATGTCAATAGCTCTTACCATTTTCTCAAAAAAGGGAAGTGTGCAGTACTTTTGGGACAGCCTTTGTAGCATGTTATTACGGCTGATGAAATAATCCCACACAATCCTAATAATTACTTTGTGAATTGAACAGTCAACTTGAAACATTTGGGGGTGTTCCTAAGTCAAATAAAGCTACTTAACACCTCCCTAACACTTCGGAGGGTCCTCTATGGGCAGCACTGGCCCTAACCTTACTTTCCTTTTCTTTAAAATAGCAACCCGATTTTTTAATGATACATCATATGCGTAAAAATGAGCTTGTCAGCGCAAATTTTTAATCATTAACTCAAACAGTTTCAAGATGGCTGAAGGTTTCAGTTCAAAATGGCCAAGAAAGGGTATTTTATCTACCTATGAGCGGACAAGGAAAAAACACTAAAAATGTGTCCCAAACTGTAGGTGACAGAATAGTAAAATAGTGCTGGGTCCACACTTTTCTGCAGGGAAATCAAGGCCAAAAAATTCCAAACATTTTCACCGGATTCAGAGATTTGGACTCTAATGAGTATCAGTGTAAGACTTATGGGGAAAAGTGTTCAGCTCAGGCAGATGCATTGGAATACTAAGTGTACTTAGTCAATGGTCATGCTAAGAGATCTATGTTGATTTCTCATTAGATCTTGGAAAGAATCGGATATTTTGTAAAACTCTAAAAAACTCTTGAATACATAGTTTGAAATAAATCCGTGTATAGATCAACAAGATAACTATTTTTTTGGCCGTTTTGAACTTGAGCCGACCGCCACGTTGAAACAATTTTGAAATACGAGTGATATCCACTATTTGCCCTTAATTATGTTTCATTAAATTTTTTAATACTTGTTAATAATGAAATAATCAATTACATTCTAATCAAAACAAACAGTAATCCAACTTCCATTGGATCTAGAATAAAAAATTTTCTCCAAAAACCAGCACAGGTCAACATGACCCCGATTTAACATTCGAGAACTTACAATAAATTTACAATACACAATTTGAGAACTTAAAAATGTACGTATTAAATAAGGAAATGAATTAAAGAAACTAGTTGCATTGATAGGCACTCAAAAAACCTCTAAATTCGCACAAAAATTATGTTTTTCACAAAATCGAAAGATTATTTCTTTAACATTGCAATAATTCACAGAATGGCGATAGAAGTTACTGCAAAGAAAATAGTTTGCCCGAAAAAGGAAAGTTTTGAGCAAAAGGAATCATTGGTATTCAGTGAATAAAGTACAGCACAAAAAATAATCTTCTTACATGTAGAAACCAGCGTACAAATATAAATGGCAAGAATGCTGAGAAAACATCCAAACAATTTAAAAATTTAGGAAGCTTGTCAAATTGTTCAACATTACGAAGGAAGTATCTCAATCCATCATCAATGCTTGTTTTGCTTCTGAGCCCTCTTTTCCCCCCTTGACCCAAAGCAAATGGTGATCTCACTAACTTGAGACGAACTTACTTTCCCAAAGTATGCTGAAAAATGGATTATTTCATGAAGTAAGGGCATTGCCAATGGAAGTCAAAAATATCCTTTTCATTGACGGATATGGTCCATGTGCTATCATTTCTCTGCTTCAAGCTCTCATACATCTCCCATATGCTATCTACAGCCTGAACGATATGGATTTGTTCTATGTTGGTCTCACTCATACTGGAGAAGGCTGTGAAAAACAGTGAATGATCTTCATCAAACTGTTTCAATACCTTTTTATTCATAAAAGTACATTTGTGTTCTGCATAAAGTGAAGCCGTTTTCGTTCAGTGAAAGATATGCCGTTCACAAATACAGCATTTCTGGCCTTGGACCACTTTCTTAACAAATCTTGTATATCTCATACACTGCAAGCGACTGCCGGCCGACTGATAAGACTCGGCAGTTTGCATTGAGATATCAACCCTCTTTCCATTACTCCTTCTCAACACATAGACCTATTGCTTACAGTAGCCCTTCCTGTTGTCTCATTTCTTTGTTCTTAATTAGAGGTTTTGGGCAAAAAAATTTTCTTCAAGTTTAATATTACTGGGCTTATATTTATTCATTGATAATTTGATTTACTTCCTCAGTTCAACTTGAAGTGAAGATCTGCTATGTCAGCAAAAAATCCTGTGCGAAAAGTACCGTGCAGTTAATAAATTTTGCTCGCTTTCAGATAATACTTGTGAACAAATGCATGCAGACCTCTTTTCATAGCGTGTGCATTAATAAATCTCAAAAAAATTTTCTCTTGAGAACTTCAGAACAAAAACAAGGAGCAAATTTGGTTAGTCTCTTTACAGCACTTCCAGGGTTGAAAAAAAGGTACAGATAGTCTCATTCAAACTCGGGTTGCATAGAAAACTACCTGATAGATTGTCAAAAATTCTTTTAGCAGCAGCTCAGTTTCCCCATGTCAAATCGAACTTTTTACCAGTATACCATGATCACAATACGAAATCCAGTGTCCCCTGAACAGTGAGAAGAAAATTGGAAAAATTAGGTTAAACAATGTGACTCTACAGTTACATTGAAGAGAGTCACAAGCTTAGTGCTGGACGCTACAAACAGGCTTGCAACTGAGACCAAAATTCAAAATTTTGAGATTTTTATCTAATCTTCCTGGACTTTTTTTTTAAAAAAAAAAAGTTCCTAGACTAATTCCGGCAACATTCCTTAACTTTTCTCTGATTTCAGGAGATAGAAAAAAAAGAACCCTTGAATATTTTTGGAAAGGTGAACATCGAGCTGTTTCAATCATATGTTGTAATTATGGTAGAATATTTTCGAATATTTGGTAAAGATAGTAAACAGCTAACCTCGCAGCTGCTTCACGTTGTTCCCCTTTGAGTGATAAAATGCTTTTGCTGGACTGAGCCTCCGGCAAAATGCCAAGTGCAACTTTTCCAGGTTTTTAAAAACGACATGACAATTCCAGGTTTTCCCTGATTATTGCCATCTTGTCAGAAGATAGATAGATGCAAGAACAAAAACTGAACCAAAAAAAGGGAGAAAAAAACAACTCATTGCAACGCTTTTTTAGATGACTCCATTATGCAGATTTCATTATTCGTAGAGCTTCTCCCTCCTCTTTGGCCACCCGTTATGTATTTCCTCCCTCTACTTACACACCCAGACACCGGCTCTACACTGGGTTGGCTCGTTATGGAACTTTGCTATAAAAAAGAGTAAAAAAAAACCAATGCTTCAACCAGTTTGATATGAAATCTTCTTACGCATTTTAGAATCATTAATATTTCACCCTTTGACGTAAGGGCGTATCCCGATTTGTTTACGTTTTGAGTTGTGCGTACATCCTTAAATGCTTTTAGCTGCTGTTTAATTCTAGCCTAGTCTCAGGTTTGGTTTCTCAATAGTTAATAACCAATAGCCATAAAACTGAAAGGCGAATCTCCTCATTGCCGAAGAGGCAACCTGATGTAAGGGCACGGTCATCTCCACCTTGCCTTGGTGCACTCGGGTTTTCCCTGCCTGCCATCCCTTCAATAGTCGAGTCAGGAAGGCCGAGTCAAAGAAAGAACCCTCTAACATCACCACCTCTGTGCTCTGTAGCTCTTTGAATAGGTACGGTTTTGCGCATAATTACATTTGTCGACTCACATGTTGGAGAAGTAGATGGTAGGGAGGTCTACGCTGACCGTTGAAAAATGATTTCCTCCGAGCAGCTCAGTGCAGGGCAGGAGAGCCGGAAGCCGAGCCACTGGTGAACGTGGGATCAGGGAAGTTTGGTATGTGAGTCCTACTGTCTCTTTGAATGGGGTTTTGTATTCAAATTTTTGACACCTTCTTCATTCAGGTGGAATGAACTAACAAGTTGGATTTTGCAATCGCTAGCGATAGCAATATTCGTCATGGGAACGTTAGCTTCTGGGATATGAAAATGTTAAGGTACAGTTCGTTTGTAGTAACTTCTGAATTGAAGGGGCTATGTATTTTTGTGTTGACATCTCTTTTTTAACATTTTTAATTATTTTCTTTGCATACAAGAAAGCTGTTTTGTACCAATTATTTATTTTCGTTGGATTATATATGGTTTTCGGAAGTTAACGCATTTAAGTTTCAGGTTCGCTTTTTCGGCGTAAAGTATACATAAGGTGTCCCAAAAGCACCGGGACTTGTTCTGTAACTTCGAAAGTAAGATAGATACAGACATGATCTTGATCTCATTTTAAAGATCAACTCAATACCTATCGATTAAAACCAAGATCAGCTCAATCGGATAAAAATTGACCGAGTTAGGGCAATTTGAAATCAGCGAGGAAAACTGAGTAGTAGTAACTGATTAAGTAAACTGAGGCAATATTTCTGTATTCATGGATTAAATCCATCAATCGAGTTCTGATTTTGGCTCATATATCCGTAACGGGTCCTCCAGAGCAATTTTCCACCTTGTACGATGGTTATTATTTCTTTATATCTATGTTTAAAATTTGAGGTGGGATAATGGCGGCTTCTCAAGAGCAACGAGGTAGGCGATCTTTTGCACCAACGAACAGAAAACTGATGGCGAAAAATAACCAATCGGAACCTCCCAAAAAAAAGAATTTGCCCAAAATCGAAACTTCGTGGTTCTGCGCAGATTTACCAGTCAGACACGACATCTCAAGGTGGAAAAAAACTCGCTGAAAGCGAATTTTAGAAATCAACACAACTTGACGTAGAGACATGATTGGCTAAAAAATACAACGGTTTTTGATACATCGGAAAATCAACCAAAAATCGAAGACTGGGCGAAACGCTCAAGGTCGCAGAGGCATAGGGAATCCCATAGCGATAGCAACGGAACGATTGTAAAGACAGGGGAACTCCGTTCCCATGCCAAAAATATTGTAATCCAGGCAGACAAACAAAAGGCCAAGTCTTTTATTGGAAGATTCTTATCTGATTCTATTCGAGTTCTCGCCACAGTTGTCAGTGCAAAGTTTATCCCTTAACCAAATTCTCTTTCTATGCACTTTCCATTTATTAACGCCAACGGTTTCATTACAATCAAATTCAGCCTGAAAATCTGCTAAAATTGTCGGCACGAGCCTGGCTCTTGACTGATCCCTAACACCACTTTTGTCACATACAGCACCATACTTTTTTAATTTGAACCAAAGTTTAGTAGGTTCTTGTCATTTAAAATTGAAGTCTGTTGGTGTACCAATGGGGGAAGAACTAAGAGTAGGTGAATCAAGTTTTGAGGGAGAATCTCTTTCTTTTTTCATAGTGCAAGACCTGAATTTTCTACTCGCTGTAGCCTGAAATGCTTTGGTGGTTCTTACATCAAAACATTTTTTCCTCTTTAAAAGAACTAAAAAAACTGATGTTCACTGGGAGGATTTTTTTTTCTCTTTAGGACAGGTGCATTTCTTTAAATCTTTACGCTTACAAAGATAAATGCTGAATAACTTGGACACCTCGTCGCACAATTTTGAACATCACTAGATTTTGAATACTTGCAAACGTATTCCACAACTTCTGCATATTTCAAATGATAGGACTGCAGCACATTAAAAACTCTTCCGTCTGACACAATACGTAGAGAAACTTTTTTCCGCACACTCTTTATATCTTGCTTAACTTCAAGAGCGATATCCTTGAAAGAAGGTTCTTGAAAGTTTGATGAATTTCGCAGAGTATCTCATTTAAAAAAATTCAATTGCAACACATCTTCGTATGAAGGTAAGCCTTTATGAAGTAGAGAGCGTGGCCTTCCAAAAAAAATGTGCTCCCATACCCCAGGCCCAACAGAACCGGCCAATCTTGCTCACTTGCTAAGGTTCCTAACTTATAGGGATTATCACTACACCGGAGTCAACTCCATTTAATTGAAAGAAAATAGATTAGGCTTACCGATACAATGATTTCATGACCCAAATTTTTCAGTATCTTCTTCAATAGGTTTGAAATCAAATGATCCACGCCCATCCATTTGTAAGTAATACTGAAAAAGTCGGAAAGAAAGCATGATATGCATTATATATTACTCAGATATTCATTATTTTTTCGATTGAAAGGGGATATTTCTGCTATCCTGCATTTACAGTACAAAATATTGCTGAGAAGACAGTTATGAGAAAAATAAATTTAACAGTTTTCAAACTTAGAAGAACAGTCAACTCAAAAATAATGTGTTGACTTAATGCATTATTGGTCAATATATTGCGTTGATTAAAGACCTGAGAGCTGATGAAGATTCATTTGACCGGAATAATATGAAAAGCTTGATGCGAAAACGGCTTTTTGCGCCCCCTGCCCCCTCTGGAATTTTTTCAAACTTTGACTGTTGATTACTCATACTTGGGCGCTTCTTTTCCCAAATTTTAAGACCCTCAAAAAAAGGGGGGTGGAAGTCAAGACCTATGAACCTCGATAGCTCTCGAACAAAGAAAGATGTCGAGGTCCGGTTTGGACGAAAAATCGTCTAAAATGAGTCAGTTAAGTCATTTTTTTTTAATTGTGTCATTCGAAAGTAGTAAGTGACCTAAGCTTACAGTTTTTTTCCTGAATTTTTTTGATGACTGCAAACGGGAGAAAAGTTTATTCGAAAGTGCCAAAAATTAGGGTGGCCTAAAACGGCGTTTGAACTGCGCGCTCGTAGGTTCCGCATGTACACGTCACGATCAATATGGCGGCGGAATGCGTAGTGGAAAGATACACGGCGGCGACGCGTTGGCGGTATGATTTTGTTGGTCAATTGGAGGTCATGTCGGTTACTTTGTTTGAGATTCATATGGATAGCATTTTGCAATTCGGAACTATAGGCAGAACGGTAGGTTTTCAGGAGAGCAACTTTTGCAAAAACCATTGGCGTTTTTCATCAAAACGATCAATGTTGCGGTTTGATGGTTCATTTTATAGCTATGGAGTTCCTTTAACACCCTGTGTTGGCAGATTCGTCAAAAACATCACACTGTTGCCAATAATTACAAAAAAAGGCTGTAGTTCCTTATTGCAAAATGAAGAATCCGAGGAAGCTCATTTTGCAATTAGGAACTATAGATTGTTTTAGCGCTGACTGCATAGGGAAGACGACCCTAGTGTCACTATTACAAACTGGAGGGTTAACCCCAACAGAGAAAACACCCCTTCCTTCCATCATACGAGGAAGGGGGGAGGTGCATTGTCCCTGCGGAAAGATATTCCACAAAAAACAGGGTGTGCCAAAAATATGGATACCTACCGACTTGCTAATATTTCGAGAATGGTGGCAAATATTAACATGCAATTTGGACGGGAGGGTTTATAGATTTGATTGACATGAATCGATCAAAAAATGAAAGCATGAATCGATCGACACCGACTCGATCGACAAATTATTGAAAAACCGGTGTTATGATTCCGACATGACCGACATGAATCGATCGAAAAGTTAGAACATGAACCGATTGACGTGATTTGATCGGCACTGATTCGATTGACGACCGTGAATCGATCAAAAACCAGCGAATCGATCCGCAAATCCGTGAATCGATTGACAACCCCGTGATTCGTTCGAAAAATCCGTGAATTGATCGATAAACCCTTGAATAGGTCAACAAACCCGTGAATCGTGAAATTTTGAAAATTCGAAAATCCAAGATTAAGGATGTGGCCTATAATGCTATCTCGGCTCCTGTTCGATGGATCTTGCTGATTTTTGGTACCGGGGGGTATTTTTCGACGGGAAACTCGAATTTCTGGTCAAATTTTGAAAATTTAAAAATCCAAGATGGCGGATGTGGCCTAAAATGCTATCCCGGCTCGTGCTCCATCTATCGCGGTGAATCTTGGTACCAGGTAGTATTTTTGGATGGGAAACTCGAATTTCTGATCGAATTTTGAAAATTCGAAAATCCGAGATGGTGGATGTGGCCGAAAACGACCTTACTTGAGTAAGTATCCCCTGGGGGATCTTTCATTCCTCGGACACACGTTTAAAGGGGAGCTCAGAAGACGCAACCTCAAACTTGTTTTTCGTGGATTGAAATGCGAAAAATATCGGAGAAAATTATTGTGGCTTATGCGTAGTAAATACTTCAAAAAACGCAAAAATCAAAAATCACTGAACAAGCTCAATGTCAAAATTTGAAAAATTTCAATTTTTCGAAACTCGGCTAGGAATTTGAGTTTCCCGGCCAAAAATACCCCCTATGCAACCAAGATTCACCACGATAGGTCGAGCAGCCCGAGATAGCATTTTAGGCCACATCCGCCATCTTGGATTTTCAAATTTTCAAAATTTGACCAGAAATTCGAGTTTCCCGTTCAAAATCCCTAGTAGCACTGTTACACAATGGAATGTTTTTAAAATGTTTCAAATTACGTCAATCTCGGATCAGTCATTGACATATGTTTCCAACAAATTTTCAAAACGAATACATGAAATTGGCAAGTTGGCCGTGTCTTTGAAACGTATTGAAAACAAATCGAAAATGTTTCTAATTGCGGTCATTCAAACTTTTTTAAAAATAAGTTGGAAACGTTTCAAACTTATTTCAAAAAGGCATAAATAACCGACCCGAAAAATGTGTAAGAATTGTGTCAGCTATGTGTTGTCAATATATTGCAGTCCGTTCAATAAACTATATCAGAAAGGTTTCAAAAACATTTCAAAACCATTGCCACAGCTAAGCCTATGATTGAAACATATTTACGGAACATTTCTGCCACAATTTATATGAAAATCAATGAACCTTTATTGACATCTATCGGAAAAAATTTGTAATTGTGTCAATTTCTTTTTTAACGACCCAGGCACAGATTCATATTATTGATTTGTGTACGATATGTTGGGAAAGGAGATCAACTAAATATTTTGGAAACATTTCTAAAACATATTTAAAACGTTGCTGCAGAAATTCTTGGAAGTTCGAAGTTTCTGAGAAATAAACCTGACATATTTCTGACACAATTTAAGTAGCAACGTTTCCAAGATCCTTCAAAAACATGTTTCAGAAACAACTGGCAGATATTTCGTATTTTTAATCTGATAAGGTACAGCTATATGTTGAATCTATGTATGAAACGTGACGGAATGGTATTTGAAACGCCCTCAGATTTTCGTGTACGGATTTCCCTCATTGCTCTCCAGTTGAAATACTCGTATCACTCTCATTTAATTGATCCGCGGCGATCGTACGTCATAACCATTTATAAAATTAATTTAAACGCATAAGGGTAAGGAAATTTATTTCAGAAACGTGTCAGGAATATATCAGTTAAACAAAACAGTGCTTTGATTGTCATTAAAACCTGGTGAACACAAGTTGAAAAAATTTCTCAGACCTTTCTAAAAATTTTCCTAGATCAAACTGAACCCACCAGAGAGCGTTGACGTTTCATTTTCCAATTTCACCAAATTTTGGTTTATTTTTTTGTCTCAAGGTTTAATTTTTGGCTATTTAATTATGCAGAGTTAAAAATAGTTTTAAATTCTTGGTATGCATTGCATTTATCTCCATAAGAGCTTATAAGTTATGGATTATCTAAAATATTGAAACCGTACATCATGCTTTGCGTATACTTTTCTAAAGTGAGGACGTCCTAATCCCTCTGATAGTTTAATACTGATGGAGTGAACCCATAGTTCCATACTCTCCTTAGGCATAGTCTGTAATCAGGCCGCCCAGGCACTTGATTTGATAGCTATAATGCCTCCACGACGTTTGCTAAAACAGATGTCTGAAAATTTTTTTACGGTTAAGAAGTAGTGACATGCGGATGTATTCAACACAGAGTGGGCTCGTGTTTAACACTACATGGACTGTAGTGATTATACCGAAAATGTGTCATAAACATTTAGAAAATCAGAGGAAAATCTGAGTTAAAGGCTCATTGTTTTACAAATGTGTCAGAAATGTGTCAAAAATGCACTGCCAACGGAGACCTTTGCCCATTGTGTCATTGAAATATGTAAAAAATGAATTCGAAACATTTCGGTGACACGATCTGCAAATGTTTCACAGACACATAAAATGTGGTGACATGGGAATGTGTTGAACACAGAGTGGCTTCTTGTTTGACACTTCATTCGGGTTTTTAAAGTATCACGTGAAACATTTCAGAAATGAGGCTTGGTGTCATTGACACGTTTTAAAAACATCTCTAAGATTAGGTGTGCTATTACGGTACCTCCTGGTACCAAAAATCAGCAAGATCGATCAAACAAGAGCCGGGATAGCATTTTAGGCCACATCCGCCATCTTGGATTTTTGGATTTTCAAAATTTGACCAGAAATTCAAGTTTCCCGTCGAAAAATACCCCCGGTTACCAAAAATCAACAGGATCCATCGAACAGGAGCCGAGATAGCATTTTAGGCCACATCCGCCATCTTGGATTTTTGGATTTTCAAAATTTGACCAGAAATTCGAGTTTCCCGTCGAAAAATACCCCCGGATACCAAAAATCAGCAAGATCCATCGAACAGGAGCCGAGATAGCATTTTAGGCCACACCCGCCATCTTGGATTTCTGAATTTTCAAAATTTGACCAGAAATTCGAGTTTCCTGTCGAAAAATACCCCCCGGTACCAAAAATCAGCAAGATCGGTCGAACAGGAGCCGAGAATGCCGAGAAAGCATTATGCCGTCCTGTCTATAGTTCCGATTTGCAAAATGGGAAATCCGAGTTTCGCATTACGCAATAGGGAACCATAGTATAGGTCCCAATTGCAAAATGAACTTCGCGTGATCCTGCGACGGCAAATTTTTGCGGGGTCGCTGAAGCGGGATAAAAATTGTTTTTGAGGATTTTCTTTTTCTCAATAGTAAGTAAATACCCTCCTGATAAGGAATTCATCATAAAAGAAAAATCGAAAATTTGACCCTAGTTCCTTATTGCATAAAGCTGTCCATATGGTCCCCCTTTAACTTGAGACTTTCAGGATAAAGGGCAGTTTTAGAGGGTGAGTGAATGTAGGTTATTTTGAAGGTCACGACGAAACCAGTGTTTTGAAGTATCAAGTATCACCGACTAAGATCGGACTAGTTCGAAAACTCATCTCCTTTTGGACTTCAGATTTTCTGGATAAGGGGTGGTTTTAGAGGAATATAGGTTGTCTTGAACGCCACGACGAGACGAGTTTTTTGAGGTATCACCGACTAAGATCGGACGAATTCGGAAAATCATCCCCCAGTGACCTTGACGTTACTGAACTAAGGGATGGGTCGATTTTCACCAAAAATGAAACATGATGTAGACCTCATAGCAGTGAAGAACCATTCTTAGTTTCGTTTTGATCGTATCGGTAGTGCCGGAAAAAAACGGTCGCAAAGGTTCGTTACATCCCAGCTATAAATATACACATATAAATATATGAGGACATGTATGTAACAATGGCGGTCGCTGACATCCGCCATTTTTAGGGCAAACGCTTTTTTCGAATTCTGGAACCCTTAATAATGCCTGTGCAAATTTTCAGACTTCCAGCGTAATTTTTCGGCGAGATATGGACTGAAAAACATGTCATTTGTAAAAACAGCGGATGTGAGAATCCACTGTTTTCTCCGGCCGGCGCGGCAGGACACCGTGAAGATTCGAACCCACTTGCGATAACTGCCCGCCCACCGGCCATGGGCTGTAGCTGACACCCTAATTATACGTATCGGGACCGTCTCACCAGACTTGTTGAATTTTTAACTAATTTTAGAATTTTTCCTTGTTTTTGTTGTAAAAGTTACAAACGGTTTAGTTTCTTGTTCAATTTTGTTAAATGACTCAGCATTGACTAACTTTTGGTTCATTTCAATCGTTTCACCAGCCTTACCCTTCCTGAAAACTTTGCTTCATACATAAAAAAGTGTTTGAAAGTGATTTTATAAGGAGGAGTATCGTCTTGGGCCTTTTCCGGCCCCACCTGGATTTTGCTGAATGTTTCATATTTTCAAAGTACTTGTCTTAGGTAGACTTTATGCCAAATATTTTACCGAACGGAGCCCATGCAAAGGTGCAACAACGCCTCAAACCCAGAATCTTGGCATCAAAAAATAGTTATTTTCGTCGACTTCTTCGACTGTTATCACTCTTTCAGCAGATGATTCCTAAGTATTTTTTGGCGTACTTTCCGTTTCTGGCCTTGTTAAAGGCCTTCGATAAATTTAAAGGGGCCTTATGGCCCATTATTGCCGTTTTTTGGCCCATTTTTAGGGGTTTTTTCAATTTTACACAAGCAGAAATCAATTCAAACTAAGAACCTTGTACGTTTTTGAAAAGAACGCCAAAAAATGAATAAAAAATGTTCGGTACAACTTTTTACTACGTTGCCAATTTTTGATAAAAATCGTCCCAAAGAGCCAAAAATTGTCCCAAAGAGCCAAAAATGGCCAAAATTCGATTAATTGCCTCGCTTAAGGTTCCAGAAAGTCGGGTACAACTTTCATATTGACGTACACAACAGCTCTTACCTATATATACAACATATCAAAAAATTATAGATGTACCTGGATTCCCACGATGTGACAATTGACCGGGATGTCGATTTTAGCGGCCTTTTTTGACTTGAAGGTAGCTCTTTTGAATGTTATTTCGACTTTAGTCACCCTCTATGGGTGTGTACTATATGTATTTTTCTACATAATTTTCATATCTGCCCATAAAATTGCTTCCTGTAAATTTTAAAAGGCCGAACGGTCCATTGTTGCCAATTTTGACCAATTTTTAGGGATTTTTTCAAGTTTATATGTGTGAAACTTAATTTAATCTAAAAACCATGTACATTTTTGGAAGGAACATAAAAAAATACATAAATATCTGATTTGAAACTTTTCCCTATGTTGCCAAATTTTCGAGAAAAATCGTCCTGAAGCGCCAAAAATGCCAAAAATTGGATTAAAAATCATGTCGAAGGTTCCAGGAAGTGAATTTTAAGGTTTCTTTCACTACAAATAACGTATCGAAAATGGATAATTGCAATGCGTCTCACGGAACATGTAATGGCTCAGATGAACGTGACAAAACGGACCCTCAAGGTGCTTTTACCTTATCCTTCACTCCAGTTCATTCCTTTATTCCTGTAACCTCGAGATGATCCTTGGTTCTCAAGATGCTTTCTACAAGCCAAATATACCAAACAACAGAAACTGCGTGGGGAAAGTGTCCCACGATCCACATGAAAGTCATAATTCATTTTCTCGAACCATCGACATGATGATTAATCCAATTTTTGGCGCTTCAGGACGATTTTTCTCGAAAATTTGGCAACGTAGGGAAAAGTCACAAATCAGATGTGATGAGCAAGCAAACTTAGGGTAGGTGAGCATAGAGTCCAATCTCTCGGAGGCGATGTTACATAATCTTGGAACAAGGGGTTTTGGGCCTGGGACTGGTGATGATTATGCAACAAAAAATGGGATCAGAGCATTTCAAAGACAAACATTTATGTACATATAAACATAAACAGGCAAGAATATATGACGCCATCGTGAAAAGTATCGTCCTCTACGGAAGTGAAGTGTGGTCTTTGATGAAGAGAACGCAAGAATGGTTAAGGGCAACTGAAATGGATTTTTAGCAGCTATTTGCCGGAATCTGGAGATGGGACCGTGTCTGAATGACAGAATTCGCCAGATGATGAAGGTTAAAAGAGATATTGTGCACGTCGTCATGTTCAGTTAGTTATGCAGGAATGGATATGTGCAAAAAATGTCGGAGGAGAGGCTGCCCAAACACGTTCTGGATTGGGTATCACCTGGGAAGAGGCGACGGGGACGTCCCGTTAAGGGATGGCGGCAGGGTGTTGACAAAGGGATGTTGCAGTGTCAGTTGCCCGATAACCCATAAGAAGAGAGGCATATGTGGTGTTTGGGTTTTGCAGAACGCCAGAAGGCGTTGTAGGAGAGACTTCATGTATACATAGAAAAATATGAAAGATACTTTGTAGTCCTTCCGATTGTGTAGAGAGATTTTTGGGAGGAGAGAGGATTGCAAAGAATCTTCATTTTCGGCAATTTTCACCGCTCTACCGGTAGGTCCAAAAACTGTCGAATCAAGTTCAAATTTTTCGTGGATGATACTGATGCAAAGCATCAACATTCAACAGGAAAACCCAGTGGAGCAGGACTTTTCAAAACTTCTGGAATTACGACAAACTGTACTGTGGAAAGCCCTTTGGGAATCTTCAACCTCAACATGCCTGTTTCTCTTGAACAGTAAGATTAGGCAGACCAGGTTCTTCCATCTCACAGTGGTCGGGTCAATTAGGGGTCGCTTCGACGGCTGTTCACCAGCTGATGGCCACTGCTGTCCCGGTCTTCGGTGGGCCCCTGTCATGAGGGGCGTTTCGGCGACCCTCATGACAGGGGCAGTGGAGCAAATTTTTCCCCTCATCCAAAAAAAAAAAAAAGGTAAGAATAGGCTTTTGATATGGAGAGGACGGAGGGGGCCTGCGCAATGCGCTCCCTCCCCACATGGCCCTGGGGAACCCTCTATAGACTCTTAAACCTGAAATACATGAAAAGTTACCTTACAATCGCTCCGAATTGGAACTTTTCAAGAGATATTACGTTTATTGAGAGGAAAACTGGCGTTAATTGCGGGGAGCTTTAAAACGGCAGCGCCAGCCTCCCCCCCCCCCCCCTTTGGATGGTCTCTAATTTGATTGGAAATTGAGAGACACAATAATTTTTTACTATCTACTTACTGAACTTTTGCGTGGATTCCATTTTTGAATTGAACTAACCACTTTTCAACACAATTCTTAGATGCCTGGATGCCCTCCCCCCCCAAAAAAAAAACCTCCTGAAGGGGCGTGGGGAGTCCTAGAAATATAAAATTTGGATTCTTTTCCACCGATTCCCCATTCTACTTAACCACTTTTCGAAACCCCAAAACAAGTTTTTCTTGGAAAAAGGCCTGGTAAGATACGTCTGGGCCACTTTAGATATATACGGATATTCTTAATTAATCAAGAATTATTGGAGAAAGTTCGTTAAAGCAGCCATTTTTCAACCGATTTCAGCCGCCACCGAATGAATCTCTTTCGGGATGACATGATGGGTAAAAGAAGCCCAAACACGAGTGTATATGTTGCCGGTTGAAAGTCAAGCAAATTTTTTTGAAAGAACCGATCAAGGGACCCTGAAGCAACCGATTTGTCTCGCCAGACCTCCAATTTCTTTTTCCTGACCAAAATCTCCATCGAACGAGGTAGGTGGCCAATTTATATTATTCCGGTTAAGTGAACTATTCATGAGCTCTCGGTTTTTAATCAACATAATACATTGACCAATGATGCATCATATCAACACATTATATTGGAGTTGACTGTTCTTTTAAATTTGAAAACTATAAAATTTATTTCTCTCAGAACTGTTTTCTCAGCAATATTTTGTACTACAAATGCAGGATAGCAAAAATATCCCCATTCTGTCGAAAAAGAGGTCTGTGCGGTGCGCCCCCTCCCTGCACAGTCCTGGGGTTCTTCCTGGTCTTCTCAAGCCTAAAGTATCGTATTTTTCATGAAAAGTTACCTTAGTTGGGTATTAATAATAGTATTAATTAAATCAATAGTATTTGGACATTGCTAAAAGGATAAACGCAGTTGAAGGGTTTGCATAAGACAAGAAGACAGAATAAAAGATACCTCATGATGTTTCCATAAAGAGCGTCTGTGTGAGACTGTGAAAAGCGTGATGCCAACCTCTCGACAATATTGGTACATAGAACCCTCAACATCAACACTAACTGCACTTGTACATTCATCCAGAATGGCAAATTGAGGCGAGTGGTAGAACAGTCTAGCCATCTGAAAAGAATTATTGAGAATGTATACTAACAATTAGTATTGATAAGTAATGTCAAATATCCTTCACTACTGATGTAAATTAAAATTATGGGAAGGTTCAGGCACAGTGAAATCTCAGTGAGTGGTGAAATAAGTTGGTTTATCAATTAGTCATATTCAGATAAAGCTAAGTTTTTCACTGGCCTCATCTGTAATTGAAAGGAATAAAGACCATGATCCTATTACTCTCTGTATTAACATTCATCCAATTTTGACTAGAAGGCCCTCGTGTTAGGTCTCAGTGCTGACTGACTGGCTCAAAATCCGAGAAAAATTAGCCCGTGAAATAGAGCCATAACAACCCCGGATAACCCCATAACAAATATAAATGAGTTAGCTAAAGATATGGAGAAGCTATCCCTGCAAATTCAAGATGCAGCCAAATCCAGTGCTCCCACAGCGTCTAATAACTGCAAAAGCTAATCCACTGAAACTTCCTTCTGAGATAGTAGACCTGATTACACAGAGGCGCACAGTCAGGGGAAAAATACTACATACAAAATTCACTGAGGATAAAAAGGAGTACAACGGACTGAATAAAATTGTATAAAAGCGCTTGAAAGTTTTTCGAAATGAGAAATTTGAGAAATTCATTTGAAGTCCGAGCTCACAGAGAATAATGAATATACTCCGTGGAAAGCCACTAGGTCATTTAAAAGATCGGAGCAAGCAAGTTTCCCTATAAAAAGAGGCAATAAAACTTGGGCAACCAATAATGAAGAAAAGGCAGATGTAATGGCTTCTCATCTTGGAAATGTGTTTCAACCGCATCCTGTTAAGCACAGTAAAATTAGCAAAAATGAGGACATAGAAAACTTAATTTCTTAAACAGATAAAATAAGTCCTATTACTCAAGATGAAATTTTCAGAGAGATTAAAACTAAAATTAATTTACGCAAAGCTCCTGGGTTTGATATGATCTCAGGCATCATATTTAAATAGCTCCCTACCAAGGCCTCACAAAAACTTGTCAAAATTTTCTACGCTGTAATCAAAATAAAATATGTTCCTTCACAGTGGAGGAAGGCAGAAATTACATAATCCTTAAGTTTGGCAAACCAGCATCAGATCCCTCATCGTATCCACCCATATCTTTAATACCTATTACGGACAAGTCATTAAAAAAATTGTATATTAAAAGACTTTTGAAAATAATTGATAAGAAGCATTTAAAATTAATGAGCAGTTTGGATTCCGAAGCAAATACAGCACATTGGAACAATTTCCCCGAACCACAAATTTTATAGAAAAAAAAAAACGCTTTCCAGCCACAGTGGAAACGAAAGGTATTTTCGACTAATCGTTTCTATGAAAACAGTTGCGCCTATTGAGCCTGACCGGTCGGAAAATCTTCCCCCTAGAACTTGATATTTTCAGGATAAAGAGTGGTTTTAGAGGGTGAGTGAATGTAGGTTGTTTTGAGGGTCACGACGAAACCAGTGTTTTGAAGTATCACCTCCTAAGATCGGACAAATTCAAAAACTCATCCCCCTTTGAACTTCACATTTTCTGGATAAGGGGTGGTTTTAGAGGGTAGGTGAATATAGGTTGTTTTGAAGGCCACCCACGACGAGACAAGTTTTTTGAGATATCACCGACTAAGATCGGACGAATTCGGAAAATCATCCCCCAGTGACCTTGACCTTACTGAACCAAGGGATGGGTCGATTTTCACCAAAAATGAAACATAATGTAGACCTCATAACAGTGAAAAACCATTCTTAGTTTCGTTCTGATCGTATCGGTGGTTCCGGAAAAAAACGGTCGCAAAGGTTCGTTAGATCTCATATATATATATACACACACACACTCACACAGTCTTGTACGACAATAGTTGTGGGGCCACTGGACTTGTGTGTTGTTGTAAAACTAACCTAACCTAACCTAACTTAACCTAACCTGACCTATCAGGCTTTTTTTTGCCGATAAATGCCATTTTCTGTCACGATTTTGGTTGTGGGGCCACGCTGCGTGGCCCCACAAGGTGGAGAAGAAGCGTGTACAGAGGCCCCATAACCATTGCCATACAATCGCTCGCAAACACACACACACACACACATATATACACATTTGTACATATATATGTATTTGTACATATGTATGTATTTGTACATATATATGTATTTGTACATATATATGTATTTATATATATACTTGGATGGATTTAAATGAGATGTACAACGGTTACACATATAAATTTAGATATTTATTTCGCCAACGTTTCGGAGGCTCATTGCCTCCTTCATCAGGGCATGAGATGGCACTAACATTACAAAAACAGACAACGAGGAGAACGGTCCGCGGTTCCTCGTTGTCTGTTTTTGTAATGTTAGTGTCATCTCATGCCCTGATGAAGGAGGCAATGAGCCTCCGAAACGTTGGCGAAATAAATATCTCAATTTATGTGTGTAACGGTTGTACATCTCAATTATATATATATATATAACATTTTCAATCGATAAAATAAAGGTTAAAATACAGTGCCTATGGGTGCCTACAGTGGCTAAATGAGTGCCTTGCTACTCTGGTCTGAGAGACGACTGTATTTTAACCTTTATTTTATCGACTGAAAATGTCCAAGAATTTGGACGAAACGTCTTGGTTTCAATTTTGAATGTGTAAGCCTTCTTTCCCCAGATGTGTTTTCAGTGTATTTATTTTGGGCTACGTTAGATTCACTTTTACATATATATATATAACACCTACATTTTTCAACTCAAGGCTTCAGGATCGATGCTCTTTGAGCGAAAATTACGAGGTCGTACCGTTTGCAATACGTAGATATTTCTTAGAAATCTACCTAAAAAGCACTTGAAAAAGGAGAAATGCGCAATGCAGTCTTCCTTAATGTGGCTCAGGCATTCAATAGGATCTGGCATGAAAAGTTAAAAAATTAATTAGTTGAAACAAATAATTAAAGCTGCCGAATGAAGTGCCCTTTCTCCATAGAACAAAAAAAATCAATCAGATTAGTTATTTTCTCTCTGGTAAGTCAACTTTCTTCATACGTATTGTGTCCTTTTACATACTCAAATGCAATTACAGGACATACATGCTCTTTTTTACTCATTTCGCACCTCCTACAACATGTATTCTATGCATGTTTCTGTAAAAAATTATACACCTCTTGGTTTCCTAATGTTGTTCTTGCCTCGAAAAAACTAAAGAAGACCAGTAGTTTTTTGGAGTCAAATTAAAAAGCACATAATCAAACAGACATAACAAACTTTTATTCTTGTATACAAAATGAGATCTTATCTTTTCCAACCTCACTTCCCTTCCTCTCTGATCAACTCTTTTTCTTCTATATCTTTCCCTCTTCTTCTATTTTTTGGACCATCAAACCCAGCCCACTCGTCCTCAGAATCGCAACTTTCACCACTCATACCTTTCACCACCTCCCAACTTTTCTTCCTTTTTTTCTTCTTTTTTTACTACTTCTGATACTACACAAGTGGTAATCCTACGCTTCTAGTGAGAGCCCCGCCCCCCTCCGTCCTGACTATGTACCATCCCGAGGCAACCGTTGTTTGAGACCATCAAACTCAGGTCGCCTAGACGGGAATCGAACCTGGCACCTCCTGATTATAGAGCCAGCGCTACAACCACTACACCACAGGAGGCCGAAACATTTTTCATATTATAATAATCGTTATTAACAGGGGGGAATAAAAACTATTTTCAGTCCTTTCTGCATGGACGTGATAGTCCGACTGTCTCAACAAAATGTCTATCAACCTTCTGTAAACAAATGTAGCTAAATTGTGGCTTTCATTAAAATATCTGCAACTGGGGTAAGTGATGAAACTTTACTTTTCAGTATCTTAGGCTGGCTGTGAGCAGCCGTTGCCAACACCGACAGTTCGACGGACAGCGCGCCGGCAACTCCAGCTGCGTGCCGATATGCTGAAGGGCTCACTTACCCAATACGTCCCACTCCTACAAAATAATTCATCTTGCACTCAACTAATAACCGGTTGAATTTATATTTGAAGCGATGATAGTTGAGGGTCTGAGGGATGTGTAGAGATGCTTTACCCAAAGAAGGCAGTTCTTAGGAAATGCCATTTCTGCACCAAACGCATCAATTCTCAAAGGATCGCATAGTGGATCTAGTAATCCAAAGGAGGTTGAAAGAGCATGCCAGTAGATGCAATTTTTCATGGGTGTTTATTAAACTGCATCTTGTGGCATACTCGTTCAAACTCGTTTAAACCTCAGAAGAAAGGAGACAGGCTGCTATACTCCATCAACAGCCAGAAAAGATGGTCGGCTGAACTTGGGCCTTGATGTTTTTTTTTTTATTTTCAACATACATATTTAGGTCTCAATGTTCATTTATCCTCACAGTCCAGGGGCCTGGTAAGTCTACCTGGAATTTCGGGTACAAACCTCGTATTTTGGCCTACAGTATGTTTTTTGGGTCGCTCAATCCGAATCTGAAGTTTCCTTCCTTGTATATGGTGTGCATTTGCCGCCATTTGGAGAAAATAGCCTATAAAGGCCTTTTTTGCGGTTTTTTCAAAATAGGGGCTATGTATGAGAAAAAATCTCGAATTTAGTTAATGTTTTGAAGATCTGACGTATCTAATTTGAAAGAAAATGGTATATGCTATATATACTATATACATTTGCTAGGTTTGCTAAAAAATTGAGGAAGATACAGCATCGTGAACATCGCGCCCATTCACGTTTTCGCGGCGCACCCGTCAGCGCGCACTGAGGGCCAGAGGTGCCGGTTGCGCGAGAAAAATTGATATCTCGGCTAAATCCGAACGAAAATCAATAAGTTTTGGTAAGCGGGGGTTTTTTTGGGTCGCTAATCTCGTATCTGATGTCAGGTTTGTTCAACATTTACGAGAAAAGTATGTTATGAGGATTTGAGCTAGTCCAGTGATGACTCATTTTTTTGAGCAATTGTACTGGGATTAGAAACTATTTTAACGCTGGAGAAACTTTCA